TGTGAAATTTAACCACTTCAGCTCTCGTACCTGCTTATGGACCACACTCATTTTTACATTTCTATTATAAGCCGGATTCTTGGTGATAACTCCATTAAACTGACATTAAACCCTCAGATTTTTTAACATAAAACAATACTGTAATGTGTGCCTTGCTGTAATCCATGGTTGTTTCCCTTCTCTTTGCTGCTCTTCCTTTTAAATCTCTATCTGTTCTCATGCTGGGCAGAGCTTCTGTTTTGCAGCAGACTGCCTTGTCTCTGAAATGGATACATAGTGCCTGTGTGTAGCTTTGCAACCTGAGCCAGCACTACAGGAAGAGGCACTCAGCTGCAAAGGGAAGTTCTCCCCAAGCATGAGAAGACATGAGGATTTAAAAGGAAGAGCAGCAAAGAGAAGGGAAACTACCATGGATTACAGTAAGGCACACATTACAGTATTGTTTTATGTTAAAAAATCTGAGGGTTTAATGTCACTTTAAGGTATCAAGGTAATACAAAACAAATAAAAAAAATACACTTTTTTATACTTTGATGAATGTTAGTTTTTTTTCAAAATATATAATTTGTTCTGTTTATAATGACAATAAAATTACAAATTTGGTAAAAAGCATTGCAAAAGTTTATTTATAAACAAAATAAAGGCATTTTTTGCTTATTGTAATGCCACACTAAAAAAAACCCAAACAAATAAAAATGGGGAAAAAGTTAAAACATTAGCGGTTAAAAAAAATGTCAATGAAAAAAAATCAGAACATAGGGGAGAATGAGTAATTCGGGTTAACAAGGGGTTAAATAGGAACAAACTACGTTGACATTTTTTTTTCCCCCACTTGCAAGGTTGCTTTAACTGACATCATAATAATAAACCAAAGGAAATACAATGTAACAATAATGTCCCCGCATTGTATTTCTCAATTAGCCTTCTGAAAAGTAGTCTGAACGCTGTTCAGAAGCTCCATTTTACATAGCAGTGGCTGCAGTGAGAGGGTACAGGGAATTGCCGGCAAGAGTGATGGGGAAAATGACAGTAGGAGGAATGGTCGGGGCATAGGACATCCATCCTGTATATTTGGATTACATTTTTTTGGATTACATTTCATATTGATTAGTACGGCATCACTGATTAGCTACTGCCCTCATCATCCAAAGCATGGTTTTCCTTATACCGGCTAATTAATTTTGACAGCACAGTAGGTATTCTTGCAGAAACTGGATCTTGTTTTTCATTCCCTTCATATATTGGACCTGGATGGAGTTGGTACATTTCCTCCACACCCAATTACAAATTTTTAGGTTATTTGTCTTATGCCAAACCAGTCCTATGGTTCATATATGCATGTGTGCTTATGTGACAGTATTAGGGACAGTAGAATATAAGCCAGGCTAGAGTATCTGCTGATGTAAATAATTCTAAATCTTCCATATAACCACAGCATTTTGTATTTAGAGTTTGTCTGTGCTCCGCAGCACGTAGAAAGGAGGCTCATGGAAGCCATATTTGAGTGTCAGTGCATTGGGTTATTAGATTACATTTAAACAGATAAATAGAGGAAAACAGAGCTAATAAAGGAAAATAGTTTAACTTTGGACAAACCTCCCTACCACAAACAAAGAAATAACAAGAATTGCATTTAAATACTAAAGTTTTTGTATTTTACAGTGTGTACATTTTGATCACATCTAGGGATGCACCGATACTTTTCAGATACCAGCGCCAATACTTGGCATTTTCATGAGAACTACCAGGGTTGCAGCGGTTGCAGCTGTGACTGGGCTCTGGCGCTCCACCACGGTCCTGAAATCATTAGTCTGTATTGTTTTAGAAAAACTGTCACATGACAATAAACCAAAATGTATTAGTACTTGTATCTGTGAGTACATGGACACGTATCAGTACTTATCGGTATCGGTGCATCCCTTTATTTATATTTATAAAAACAAAATCATACATTAAAACAGAGATGAACAAATCCCAGGAGCTCCGTGGGCTCCTTACAAATGACAGCTGCCTCCTAACTTTTCAATTTTTCTCTAGTCTAGTCTTGGAGCTGGAAAAGTATCTCTACTTGTACTTGTACCGAGTCCAGTACTTGGTATCGGTGCATCCCTAATCACATCCATTTAAAAGCTGTACATACAAACATTTTGCATATGACATGCAGTATAACAATGAGCTCAGATACAATAATTGGGCATATTTAATAGTACAGTGTAAAGACCAATGGTATGCAGTAATTTATAACAATCAATCAAAAAACAGTACAGCTATTTCAGGCCTTAAGTTCAGCCAACCGTTACAGTCATAATTATCATGTACAATGTCAGAAACATCCAAATGTTTTTGAAATTCTTTCACTATTCTCAGAAACTGCAGTTGGCCATTCATACCATGATTTGAAAAAGGCATTTAAACTTAGTAAAGTGCATTGGTTTCATCAATGATTTTCAGCTCTTGCTGTATTAGCATTTGTTTTCATGATTTCCAATCATCAACGACATTTCTAAAAATAAAAGAAAAAGAAAAGAAAAAGCTGATGTCAAACATGAATAGGTCTTCTGAATTCAACAACGCCCTTTCCATGTCCTGGGATCACGTGCACTAAATAAAATCTTTTGCCCAAGTACATTCGAATTTGAATTGACTTATTACTTAATGCTATAGCAAGATGCGTCTATTTAAATAATGGCCTGCTCTTGGCTTCCATGGCGGCTGCAGTTGGGTCTTCAGATTCTAAATCTTTTAGGAATGGACACGTTATCGTTTTTTTCTAAGTAAAACATTCATGTTACTATTTATTTGATTTTCTTTTTGTTTTCTGCTTGTTTACATAGAAAATACAATTTTGGAAAGAGGCTGGTAAAATAAACAGCCTGCATTAAGAGCACAAATATATTGAAGGGAATTTATCAAAACTGGAGCAGACAAAATCTGGAGCAGCTGTGCATGGCAACCAATCAGCTTCATGCTCCCTCGTCATCAGATGACAAGAGAGCATGGAGCCGGCCTCGTGGCCAATCAGAAAGCAGGGCGTCGCGTCATTGCACGGCGCCCGGCTTCCTGATTGGCTGGCTAGACGGCTGCGGCTGGGTACCGGACGAAGGCCGCGTTCTTGCTGGAGAGGCCCCGGGGGATGACAGGCTGCACATACTAAGGTAAGAGGGGACTTTTTTGTTACTCGGGAAGCCGGGTGGCGACTCTTTACACGCTGCCCGGCTTCCCGGCTAATCAGGAAGCCAGGTGTCGAGTCATTACACGCCACCTGGCTTCCTGAATGGGACTTCCGTTACTCGTTAAGTGGTATCGGCGAGTACCGAAAAAAATTTATCGGTACTCGTACTCGGTACCAAAATACCGCTATCGGTGCATCCCTAATACTGATGTTCCTGTCCATTCATAACTCGTGGATATAGTGTGTGTTTACTATGTACACAATCATGAATGAACATGAATTAATGTAGAGCACTTCCCATTCATTCATAACTGGGACATAGTAAGCATACTATGTCCAGTTATTTACAAACATTCAACGATCAGCTGATTGTATACCGCTCTCCATCCTGAATCGGCTGTCACAGGAGGTGGAGCCTGGAGGTGTGGGAGGAGAGCTCCGCCTCTTGTGACAGATCACAGCGCTCTCCTCCACTCACTGATCACAGGAGGCGGAGGAGGTGCGGGAGGAGAGCTAAGCCTTCTGTAACAATGACAACTGTCACCACCCCACACCACTTGGCCTCCTGAAAGCTTCTCACCTCCCCGCTGGGTGCCAGCCACTGCATCAGAAGACACACAGACCAGTGGCGGAACTACCGCCGGTGCAGCCGGTGCCGGGCAGTGGGGTCCGGTCCTGGGCTCCCCCACAGCCTCAGTGGGGTCCGATCCATTTTTTTTGGCAGTGCACGGTGAGGTGAGTCACAGGAGGCGTGTGTGTGTCACAAGCCCCGCCCCCTGCACTGCTCAAATCGAAACTCCCTGGCATGCGGTCCTCTGGCTGGGTAAGTCCGAGCGCGAGGGGGGGGGAGGGGCTACAATATAATAGTTGTGAAATGCTAATTAATGTTATCAGACAAGTGGATTATAATGGGGAATATTACACTGTAATGTTCCCTATTATAATCTATTTATGCCACACATTTTAACGTAATCTCACCCAGAATAGGTCAAACATTCTTGCTGGGGGAGGGGGGCAGATGCCAGTGTGATCCGCTCCCGCCCCCCCTCTGTCTTGGGAGGGGGGCCCAAGATAAAATCTTGCACCAGGGCCCTTTGGTTATTAGGTCCGCCACTGACACAGACACACAGACATCCAGCGGGGAGTAGAGAACTTAGGGATGCACTGAATTTTCGCCCACATTTTCGTCCGTCATGGTACTTTCAGCATTTTGCCAAAACTGCCATTTTCAACCGGACAAAATTTTGGTGCATCCCTATAATTAGTCCTTAGTTCCAGTGTACAACACTTATTCTAGTATTATCTTTTCCTTGAAGTTTGAGACTTCACTTTCTAAGATTGGGGCTATTTTTTTTGCTGTGTGAACCCTGCCTACTAAAACAAGGCTGAACTGTGACTGTGAGTTCTATGGTCTGCCTGATTTTTCTAAAGGTTCTTATACCTAAATATGTATACACATACTGTACCACAACACTAGTATTTCTGCTTACCTTTATTTTTCATCTGCAGATCCTCAGCAATGGTTTGTAAGCATTCCAGTCTGTGCTGGAGTATCTGGCAGGTACTATTTGTAAGTTCTTTACACTGTTCACCTATAAATAAAGTTTCAGGAATCAGAGTTGACACCTGTATTTTTACAAGTAAATTCCTTAATTTGTAAATTGAAATCTGATAAAATGCATCACATTAGGAAAAGATTATTGGATGACGATAACCATCTACAGGAACAAAGCTGTTGTAATGCCCACAATCACTTGTAAGTTGAGACTATTGTGTTGCTAATACTATTATAATATTACTTTTCTCAGTCTTGCCCAATTGTAAATCCTTATCAGGTTCTCATATCTTTAATGTACTCACCTTTAATGTACTCACCTGGATGAATAATTAAATGACAGGTGAAAGTTAAATAGCTAATACGCAGTGAAAAACAGAACAGAGCTATAGTGAAATCTGTAGGTCTAAACTCTCCTGTAAGGCATACTTGTTGCCGGTTAGTTACTGTATCGGTATGAGGGAGGGAACCTGCAGGGCCGCGACACATTGTCTATTTTGACCTATGTGACGTTATTTTCAATAATCAATATTTTCGTTGCATTTTTGAGTGCTGGTGAAAGGAAGATGGAAGGAGCACATTGGAAAGTTCTTAGCCGAACGGCGCAAGTAGTCAGTTAACTGTAGGCTCTGTTTGGGTATTTTGACAACGGCCAGTGGCCGATGTCATAATACAGTAGAAACAGCGGAGGATTTGTACATCCATGCTCGTAAGTGTTGATGGAGGAATCTGTTATATTTTCTTCATTCAGCCCCCAGGTTGAACGTAAAAAGTATATGTGTGTATACAGGGCCGGTGCTAGGATTCTTGCCTAAACAGGCAAAGTTGCATTTTTGTATAATAATAATAATAATACTGTGCCCGTCCCCTTTGCTCCTGTTGTGCGGCTTGTAGTGTGCGTACACTGTTTGGTTACGCACGCGTAGTCCACTTCACCCGGGCGCCATAACACAGCTGATTCGGGTTGTGCCATCCGGGTGATGAGTGGGGACTGCTTATAAGGAGTGGGACCGTTCATTTACTTGTGGAAAGCCTCACCTTACACGCATCTGCAGCAACAGAGAGAGGTATGCTTTTATTTGGCGTATATGTTTTTAATTCCATAGCGCTTGCTGGTTACTATATGGAATTCTATGGGAGCTCCTTGTAGCCTCCGAGATGGGATCTGGCAGCATGCAAAATATATTTATGTTTGTGTCATACACATTTTTCATATAGCGCTGTGATTTGCTAAGTATTATAGGTTTACCTACAGTAGATGTATACATTGGTATATGTACACACCCAAGGTGTTTACGGACACTTATGATTTTATTATTTTTTTAATTAGGAAATGTTGTTACTAATGTGGTCCCTCTCTGCTGTTACGTCCCTCCTACGGTCCTTCTGGGGGAAGCTGAAGGTTCAGGCTCCAAGTTCTTGCCCATTTGTATGGGGATCTGTTTTGATGCAACACCCGGCATGTGATTATATCAATTTGCAGTAAACTATTGCTGGTATTCATGTTTATTGTACACAATATATTAGATGCACTGAATTGTATATTCAATGTAGTTTGCTTATCTTATAGCAGTTTGAACTTTTCTCTCCCAAAAAAGCCACAAAGGTGGCAAAACGCTTAGCAACATTCTACAGTGCAGACCATCATATGACCCAACTAAGGACTGTATGACCACCATCCTACAGGTCCTACTCCCTACATACATGTAATAGGATGGACTTTCCTGAGGCCAATAAGACCTTGTAATGTGTTTTATGGATTTTACTGTTTCTAATAAAGCTTTGTTATTTTAATGTAATTTTGAAGGTCATTTGATGCCTAAAAAGCCCCTTCATTGGTTTGTGGCGTCCATCTGATTACAGCTGGAGGTCTTCTAGTTTGTATGTTTGATTATATCCGGGGTGTGGCACTAGGACACTTCTCTCTTGAATATCGGTATTCTAATGAAAATGCCCAGTATCGGCCCTGATACAGTTATCGGTATCGGTGCATCACTAGTTTTAACCATTGTCCACTTTATCCAAAATTAACCACTCTTCAATCGTAATAATCCCCCCTTTGAAATGTATCACTGCATGCTATGATAGCTGTCACACAGTGCAGCTTGTCTTTGTTTAATACTGTAATGGTTGCAGTATTTAAAAAAAATCATTACAATTTAAAATATATATTTTTTACATTTTTGTCTATTTGTCAGTCTACAATAACATTTAAAGCAGACAGTATATCCTTAAAAAATGTGGGAAAATTAGTTATACAGCTATGTTCTGGTTAATTAATGTTAACTGATGCTGTTAAATTTGGTCTGGGCATCTACGCATCAATGACCACTGAGCATAAATAGGTTTAATGATGCTGTTATAAATAAATATTGACGTTCTTACACTTTCTGCATTTAAAATATATTTTATGACCTTTTAATAAATATATAACTGTATAACTGTTTAATATTTACTTAGTACTCAACTTTAAAGTTGTATATTTAAATATAATATGGTGATATAATATTGTGGTATTATATTTACATGTGCCTGTCTACTGTGCTAATAAAGAACAAAAATAAAAACATGGAAATACTTTATGGTTTCATTTTTCACACTAAAACCATCATTCTTTCTAAGATAGTAATTTTAGCCATTACACTAATCCTATACCATGTCCTAATCCTTTACCATAGGTAGCCCTCATTTTAGGCTAAAATTAATCCCCACCCTAGTCCTAAAGCAAGTGCTAAACCCACTACAAGGCTTCCAATTGGGACATCTGTTCTGGTGGCACCTTTCTAAAATAAGATTTCCTCTGACTTCCTGTGGCTTTTCTAGGGCAGGCAGTGAAGGGAAATCTCCCCAATGGGAGATAAATAGCAAAAACTCTATTGGTATAAGTGCCAATACTGGGCATTTTCACAAGGGCTTTGTACTGTAAATCAAATTAGAAAGTATAACAAGTGTAATATTCACATAAAATGTACATACCATGTTCAAAGTTATCGCTGTAGATGGTTTCCAGGAAGTGATTTCTGTTCAGTGTCTCAAAGATATCAGTATGGCTGGTTGGAGCTGTCAGCAATGAATACACTGGAGACCTAGGTTGAATTTCATGGTTTTTGTAATTCTCCTTAAGAGATGAGGTATAACAGGGGCTCGCTAAAATGTGGTGTTCATAAAAATAAAGATACAATTATAAGACATAAAGAGAACCCAATTTCACTGAACATAACATATCTAAAGACTGAGCAAGCATTCATTATCAGCATAATGTGAACGCCATCTAACTATCCTGGGTGACTGCTGTGAGCTAGAAACATACATGGGCATTTTTATTTTTTAAGATTCGAGGAATGGCATAAAATGTAAAAACTGCCCAGTCCTATGAGTTTTTGTGGCATCTGAAGTCTGAGACTTTGATGAGAAGAGCAAATAGAAATAAGGGAAATGGGAATTTGTTTAAAGCTGCAGCCATGATGATTATAACGTTAAGCCAAGGCAAGAGTGGGAAAAAGTTAGAACACCTGTCAGGTTTCAACTGATATGTGGAGCGTTGTTAGAGAAACTTACCCTCTCTTCCTGTTCTGTTGACATTTAACCAGACAGGAAGTGATGGGAACCAACAGTAACACAGACAGAAATAAAAATGATTTTCTTTAGTTTTAGGGGAAGGTTACAACCCCTGTCAGATTCAGGCTGAGGTTGAAATTCATTACTAAGTGCTGAACAGACAAAGCACTACATAACATAAAAAGAGGTGGACAGTCTCTGTTTGGCTACATGATTACGCAAAAACGAACACAGTTGCTTTTTATGAGTATTGAATTATACTTTATTGTATACATTTATACATTAATGTTTTATATCTACTTTTTGTTTTTGATAGAGCAGAAACGTGCAAAAATCCCTGTCACTTTATTTGTTGTCAGTGCTCCATTGGGAAAATGTCCTCTTCATTTCCTGTCCCATAGATGCAGCAGGAAGTGAAAGGAAAATTTGGGGGGAATTCCCCTCTTAGACGTCTTTGGCACAAAATAAATTGACAGGGGTTCTAATGCTTCCTACTCTATCCAAAACTTAAAGAACGTTATTTGCTTCCTTTTATTCTGTAATAGTTTAATGCCAGAGTTAGTGAGAATGCGTGAGGACCAATTTTTATATCAAACCCAAGTACATCATGATATGACAGCCCCCCTTTCCCATACACTGATTCGTCAACCACTATTCACTCCCTAATCCAGTCGGAGAAACATCATAGAATACAACTGATCTGTATGTAAACCCTAACAATAAACATCTTATTTGCTTTCTTTTGGTCTGATTGATATATATATATATATATATATACATATATATATATATATATATAAAACACTGAAAGTGTTATTTGTTAGATAGGTAAAAAAAAAAACCTATAGATCCTGCCAGAACTCTAGTGCGCTGATAACTTTCTGTGCTCCCTGCCTATACTGCATTGTTCTCACAAATACAGGTCACCTCCCCCCAATATTATAGAGAAAAAGTAGAAGGGGAGGTGTTCTGTATGTCTGTCCTATCGTGATAAAATGGCACCTATATAGATACAGTATAGTGAGTGAACGTTGTCACCCTAGGACAAGAAGTGTGTTGCTGGCAGGATCGCTATGTCAAATAAAGGAAAGAAAGCCTGAGAATAGAAAACTAATGCATCCATCATCTAAGGGCTGGTAACCTGCACTATATTATATTTTTATTCTTGGGTTTAGATAAACTTTAATTTAAGCCAAAACTTAGAAGTATTTACTTTTCTTAAAATCTATCAATAACTAAAAAAAAATAGTTTTGGTTGCAGATGGTCTTAAAAGTCCATAATAGCCCATCACACAGATACGCTACATGAAACTAAAGGGACTTTGAATGACACATAGACTATAAAATACAAATTTTATCTATTAACATAATTCTGTTAAGGACAATCGACTACCCCACCTCTCAAAGTAGAGAAATTGCAATGTCACTGTATAAATTAGACAAAAAATAATGTAAATCCATATCTAAACTTACCAGAGGTAATAGGTGATAAGGAACAAATGTTATCTTCAAGATCAGTTGTGTGCAAAGTTAATGGCTCCCTAAAAAGCAGATTATGTAAAGTTAGGTAACATTTTATTAAAATATATTCAGGTCATTCAGTTTTTTAAGAATAGTTTTAATTTGCACCTAAAACATGGTCTATGCTGAAGCAGAGAAGGACTGCCTATTAAGCAATAATTTGGTTCCAGATGACCTCCAGAATAGCCTTGCTATGCTACACAGTCTTAGAGCAGTGTTTACAGCCTTCAAACGTCTACTTCAAATGTCCCTCTGAGTTTTGATGTGGACAACGAGGCTAGTCTGCTTCATACTGGCTATCATTCCCTATGAACCAGGATTAGGCAGATTCTTTCTCGTGTCTGCTGAATGCAGAGTGTACAGTACTGTAAAACATTTATTGTAAAAACATATTTCTTAACCTTTCTAGTTGTTTTTTTTGGAGCAGGCCTTCAGCCACGCTGCAAGCTTCTCTGAACAATCTCAAAATGAAAGTGTAGTGGGGGGACAAACTGGGCACACACTGAGATAAAGCGCATTAGCATGCAAATCACTGCTCAAGGCTTGAGATCTTTAACCCTTTGATAGGAAAAAGAGTGTTCAAATCTCGTTTTTCAACTGACAATGTGAATGTCAGCACAGTGCAGACACGGTTAAGTATTGTAAACATTAACTCCCCAGTTCCCTTCTTAACATTATGTAAAATGGGAAAACTTCAGTTACAGATTTGAGACAAGAGCAAGTAAAACGATAAGCAGCAATTCTAAATAGTTGTTTAAATGATGCTATGTGAATGGGATCATGCAAATCTAAAGTAGATGTTATCCCAATGTGCCTGCAAAAGTTGACATAGACTTTAAAGCCTTTTATAAAGTTAAGCTGTGAGCAAGATATAAAATACAGATTCAGCTAAATGTTCAGTGCTTCTGTCAAAATCTAGACAAATCCAAAAGAGAATGCACTACAGCCATGCTAAGCCTTCATAAAAAGCAGGTCTAGCAATGAAGTCTGAAAAAGAAAGGATTCAATTACAGAGAGTTATTTATTCTTACTTGTAAGTATGGGTTGATGTATGGTCAGTTTTCATACTCAGTTTCAGAGGTCCCTCATCTTTAAAGGGTGCACAACGTAAGCAGTCTGAAAGATTTATTGCTTTCTCAGAGGGTTCCACTATGTTAAAATTAACAGATGGCTGAAACAGTAAGCAACAAGACTTAAGGAAATAGATCGACAATGCCACTGTAAAAAGAAAAAGGTTTACCAGGTACATGAGCCCCTACCCTTGGCGATTCCTCCATTTGGGCAAAATTATACAGTTGATCTGAATAAGGTTAGAATTGAACTGCTGTGTAAAGATCTGCATGTTTTCATATGCATATAATATTGATTCATATTAAGGTCTACCTTTGGGAAAATGAGCACTAATATTGCAGCAGCATAGATACAACACGCACGTTGCTCACTACAGTACAAAGCACTTGTCTACAGAGATTATTGAACAGCAAAACTCTGTTACCTGTGTAAACATGAAGACTTTAGGGCAAGATTTGATCGGTGAATCATATTCATGTACAGGAACATCACAAGGTTGAAGGAAAGATTCTGAAGCTATTTCATGCCTTGGTTTGACAAGAATCTGATTTGAAAATGGACCTCTAAGCTCCTATACAGAAAACAAAACAATGAGTACAGAGTATGCACAAAAATGTTTCTGTGCGTGTATTGGTCTATATATATATATAAATATACTGTAAAAAAATATATTTGTGGTCATTAATATCTAGTGCACGTGACCTTAATAAAAGCGGTTTGAAGTGTGCTGTGACCGCCATCGCCGGTACGCCTAAAGTGGGCATTACTTATAAGAATTGCAAAGTTAGCGGAGGGTGGGCTGCCTGCAACGATCCTACAGCACACACGTAGGGCCTGTCACACTACAAGTTATACAGGCAATGCAATTAGGCTGCATACATAAGTATCTAAAACAATAAGGTATGGATGGCCATGTACACAAGCACGGTAATAAAAAGGACAGTCCACAATTCTTGCTTCCAATAGAACCTTCCGAGTGTTCAGTAGCAGCCTAGATCCTAAAGACTACTTCACCACCACCAGTCAGCACTGATCATCTAGTTTTTGACCTCCAATTATAAAGGTCATAAAACATATGAGGAACAACAAGTACATCAGCAGCTGCACTTCAGCCACTTCAAGCTATAGGTGTCTCTCATGAAGACAATCAAAAAAACATTTCAGACACGTTGGAGCTTGCATTTAAACTTGGATGTTGTTTTTAGTATTCTTTAATAAATTGAAGTTACTCCATGTTGACCTTCTATTTTAGTTGCTATAAGGCCGTGGTAATCCACGGTAAACACTGCTCACATTCCAGAACTGCATCCCACTTTTGGGCAAACAAGTGCGCCATTGCTCTTAGCAACCCGATCTAGAAATAGTCACACTCCAACAACCTTCACCGAAGATAAAAAATCTTTATTTATGGATCAAATGCATACTGTTTGTTCATTGCCATGTGTGCTCAACTCTAACGCGTTTCACCATTCCGGCTTACTCATATCTCTAGGAGTAACCCAGAATGGTGAAACACATTAGAGATTGAGCACACATAGGAAGGAACAAACAGTACATATTTACTCCATCAAAATTTACAATTTTGGTGAAGACCTTTGGAGTGCGGCTATTTCTAGACTGGGTTGCTATAATGCGACGGCTCCATATCATGTTCCACACTTTGTACTAGAATTAACCTTCCTAAAAAAAGAGGAGAAAAGAGATGGCAGTTACAGTGAGATTGAGGCTCCAATCTCATCTGTCTGTGCTAAATGAGCATCTTGGAAGAGACTAAGAGCTAGGAAGAGAGTGAGTGCCACAAGAGGGCTGTTGTTACTGTGAGAGAGCCAGTGGCTGTGACACAAGTGTTTAAAGACCTTCAGAAATATTGGTCCTCCATTCCCGATGCGTGTTTAAGTTCATGTCAATATACCTGTACCTTGAAGCGCAGCTGCTGGAGTACTATTATTGCAGTCTGACAGCCCAGAAGAACACAGATGCAGGTGCTGAGAAATCTTGTATACAAGATCAGTGTTGGTACTTTTGAATATGATGAAAAACCTCCAGATCTTTGGCCACATCTGAAAAGCCTGTCATCAAACTTTAGGCGGAAATGGATATCCTCTAAAACCGCCAACAACAGAACAGGCCTGCTAAATGCTGGCACATTGCAGTAACTATGCAGATCAGAAGGTGTGACCAGAGATCTGGAGGTTTTTTTTTTCATTATAAACTTTATTAACATTATACATTTAAGACAAAACTAGCTATTGACTGCAGTGTCAACTGGTGAACTGGTGGTGATAGATTATTGGTTATGAGTTTGGCTGCCACCGAGTGCTGTGAAGTTGTTATTGAATATAAATATAACAATCACTGACAGTGTCATTCTGTTATTATTAGGGACAATTTAACCCACAAAATAACTGCTTCAGATTCTGTCTACTCCAGTTCTGATTAATTCCCCTCAATGTGTCAATATTAGGCACCATTCACCATTTTTGTGGAGTACCTCTCAAACCAACAAATAATAAAATATACTCATATAAGCATCAATAAAATAAAAGTTGCATACTGAAGGTCCCCCAGACTAAGGAATACCAACCCAGATGTCTATACCAAAAACATTGCAGTTTAGCCTTCATTCACACTGTAATCGGCCCACACGTACAGCTACATGCTGCGTGCAGGGCCATATCGAGCAGCTCCCAGGAAGGACAGGTGCTGCCTGTGATTAGTACGCAGCCCCGGTCCTTCTCCATGGAACTACGCGGCCGTACACCCCCCTACGCTCACCTGAAGTGCAGGTCCGTAGGGGTGCGTGTTTTCCAGCTCAGACGCAGACAGGATCCATCCTGTCAGCGTACGAGTACACCCACCCGCACGGATGTGCAGGATGGGTGAGCGTAGGGGGGCTTATGGCCGCGTAGTCCCATAGAGCAGGGCGGGGGCTGCGTACTAATCACGCGTAGCACCTGTCCTTCCCGGGAACTGCTTGGTACGGCCCTGCACGCAGCACGGAGCTGTACATGCGGGCCGATTACAGTGTGAATGAGGGCTTAAAGGTAAAGGCCAAAAAAAAGTCCTGGATTAACAGTAGCTCCATTTTACATGCCTTTAAGTCCAGTGTGTGCTGTAATTTCAAGACCGTTATTTCTTGCTCTAAGCGCTGGATTACTGCTTGACATTCAGAGAGCTGCAACAAAGTCTGCAGAAAATAGGAGACAATTGAAAAGAAATTCAGCTAGATCTATTATTACCAAATGACAGTCCATCATTTTTAAAATAAAAGCAGGATGTATATTCCCTGCTGAGGAACATAGTCTATGGACTATACTTTTTGAACCAATATGAAAGTGAGTCTGTCACAGAAAAAAAATACAACTAATACAGGTACATAAATGGCTAAGAAACTGCAGTTAAATGACAGCTTCTTCTAAGCAGTCCAGAAGCCTCCGAACCCGGGTTCATTCAGCAGTCTTGTCTCAATTTGAGCTTCAAGTTGGAGCTCTGGCATAATGCCCTACATCACACAATGCGTCAAGGCTTAGAGCTGAGGGCACATTGCAGTTTTGGGGGTTTACGAAACACTGACAGGGTTATTCCCAAAAGGGTGAAGAGTTTGGAGAAGACAGGAGACGTGAACAATCTAGGCCAACATAGCCGATTTGAAAAATTCTCCCATTTAGCTCACTTGTCCAGCTATGTTGTCCTAGATTGTTCACTTCTCCTGCCTTCTCCAAACTCTTCACCCTTTTGTGAATAACCCTGTTAGAAGAAATTATGATCACAACTAAGGCCTCATGCACACTACATTGAAGAAACATAAGTTCAGGTGCGTTTGGAGCTCATTTCTAAATACACCTGAACTCATGTAATGCTTTTCTATGACTGAATGCACACTTAAGGTGCCCATACACCTTGCGATTATCGTCCGCAAATTTTCGTCCGATGATCGAAATGTCGTATGATAGTTGTACGGTGGCCCCATCCTGCCCCGATTATCGCAAGGTTCAATCAGTGGTAGTTAAAAAAAAAAAAACACCTGGACAAATTGCGGTAATAGACCGCACGTATTTTCGTTTGCGCATGAGCAGTGTTAATCGTACGACTTTTGACGGACAGAAACGCCACCAACCATGCGAAAATCGTACGATCGACCAAAGTTTTCCAACATGCTTGACCGTCAAAAGTCGTACGATTGTACAGTACTGACGTTTGGGCACTACATTCACACCTTACGATTGTCGTACGAAAAGTCAATCACATACGATTATCGTACGATAATCGTAAGGTGTATGGGCACCTTTAGACGTCCAGCAGCATCTAAGTGCATTCAGTCTAGAAGCATTTACCCAAACTAGGATTTTCTGTGTTCCAGGTATATTTAGCCTGGTTTTACACACCTATAAACGCACCTAAACGTGTGTAAACCTAAGACCAACAACAACTAAACACATGAAAAAGTCATCTGGGAAGCATAAAGTTGTTTATACTTACCAGATAACTTCTCTTCTGCTTAAACACAGCTGGCAAGTGTGCATGAGGCCTTAAAGTACATGTGACTCTTTCTTACCGCTCCTCTATCAGCAATAGATATCAGGAGTCAGGATACAAAATCGTAACCAGATGGTACCGCACACCGCACACATTATTTCCGGACGTGGCGGACCTGTGATGGGCATGCTTCACATTTTCTGGGCCTGCCCGGTGCTCTGGCAGTTCTGGGACGGAGTGCACGCTTCAGATTCCTCGAGACCCTGCCTTCTTTCTTCTGCTTTACAACACCATCCCGATACGTGCGTACTCACGCTCACTCATTAGACACATAGTCAATGCGGCCCGGGCATGCGTCCCGGCTCTCTGGAAGAAACCCGAACCTCCACAGGTCAGACAGGTCTTGGACCGCATGCATGATATTTACCTCATGGAGGACCTAACGAGCTCCCTCAAACACAACAACGCTAAGTTCTCTAGTACATGGCTCCCCTGGATGGAGTTTATGCGATCCCCTGAATACCTCATGCTCTGATAGGATTTAGTCACCTGAAGCGGATTGAGGATACAGGATTCTCTTCCACCCTACTCATGGCCGCACTTCTCCCCTTCCCCCTCCCTACTCTAACCCC